AGAGAGGAGAAAATTTGCTTGCACGTGTGTGTGACGGCACGCACAAGAATGCTGTGAGAATTCATGAAGCATGCAGGCTGCAGACAACCACGTCTCAGGCTGCTCCATTGACGTCCTGTTCTCTGGCATGTTGCGCACGGGGAGATCAATATGACCTTACCTCCACCACCCACTCCTTTGAAACTTAATTACTGATATTCAGCTACAAAGTCATCATAGCCTGGCTGTCAATATTCATTGGGGATCATTACGGGCCTAATAAAAGAGGATTTACGGGCTGCCTTTGCTGACCGCCCAGGTCCAGAGATCAGCTTAGCCATCTCCAATGCTTCAACCTCTCTCTCCTCTCTCTCTCTCTCTCTCTCTCTCTCCTCTCTCTCTCCTCTCTCTCTCTTCTCTCTTCCTCTCTCTCCCTCTCCCTCTTTCTCACCTCTCCCAGAAGCACTGACCTGAAAAAGAAAAATTGACAGCAGAGAAACGAACAGGAGAGAGGATGGAGGGTGAATTCTTCTGGCATGGCTTTTAATTCTCTTGGCTGTGTTTGGAAGTTTTTCAGCCTCTGCCAAAAAAACACTGGAGCCGCTATATCCCTAGCTTTGAACTTTGCTTGCCACTGACATCGCAATCAGACCCACAAAGGGATATTTCATGACATTTAGAGAAATGTCGTGCAGAGCCTTGCCTCCTTGCAACATTACAGTTTTAACTGCTCTACTCCAACATCAATTATTGTGTTTTCAAGGCTGCAGCGCTATTCCTCAGGTTTTTCCACAGAAAGTCATTTCATCAGTACAAAAAGCAATAGCATGAACCCACACAACTCCCATTCCTGACATTGTACAGCAAAAAGGAGTTGTGTGATTGTGGGAGATTGCTATATGTTAATTTATTCAATAAATCAATAGCTTCACTGTAATTGAAATGGTTGGCCATCCGGTGTTGAGGCAACGTGTTGAGAACTGCAAAGTCGAACAGTGAACTCTATAGTTAAAAAGAGGTACTGCATCCATAATATATATATATATA